GCTTTGCTATCGCGCTCAGCAATGGTACTTTGAGTTATTTTAAGGCCACATACAAGGAAAATTGAAAATAATAGTTTACTAAGATAGAAAAACACAAATGAGATGATAATAAACCTCACAGGAACAAGGATGGTTAACCTGGATCCATGGAGATGACTAATACGAACAACTAACTTAAAAAATTTAGGCCAAACTTTTCAAGATGCCCAAACTGTGACATAGCTCCTTTAAATGTGCAACAAACTCGCTTGGTTCAACTCACCTATGTCATATGCAAGAAAATCCATAGAAAAGCAGGGCAACATAGACTGTAACTGTGCCGTGCCATTGTGTGAATTACCACCAAACACAAGTATGACTTTACCAAGTAAAATGGCTGAATGGAGGTAACGAGGTACACTGCTACGTTTAAGGGATTTCCTGAAAATTTTAAAGAGGGCTGATCACTGAAAGATTTAAATAATTATCGTCTTTAGACTCACCTCAAGCTCAAAAGCAGACTCCAGCATTTTTTATTTGTTTAAACAAAAGTGATAATGAAAACTTTTGCTTATCGTTCAGCAGCAACAACATCAGTCAACTTAAGAACAAGTACATGTACGACAACAAGTAGGTAATTCATCCCTTGCAAGCCTGTTTGTCTGTGTCATATGACACTTCCATAGCAGCTGTATTTTGTCATGCAGGTTAAATCAAGTTTCTAGAATCTTGTTTTAAAATAGTTATTTGTTTTAATCACAATTTCCCCAAATTGTTAACCAGCACTAATACAAAATTAAAAGCCTATTGTAAACAGTGTACATGTACATTCCTTAGTGTACATGTACATGAACCTACATGTACCCACTGTATGTACTTTTGTGCAATTTTATCATCTAGATTTAAGTTCCATCAATTTTATATTAAGACAATATATTACATGACTGTATATTTTGTAACTCCAAGAAGGTGGGTCCCAGACAGCAGATTCGATTTTTGACCTCATACATGTATGACATTTTAAGAACCTAAAAGCACCTGTTAAATGTGCTGTTCCAGAAAATATCCATGCCCCTCCCATGGAGGTTTTTTTTAGTTTGAGCCTCCTCATCCCCCTGGAAATTCCGATTTTGGACCAGGCGTTCCTTTAACAATTTTGATCCTTGAGACTCCCCCTCTTCCCCCTTAGAATTTCCAATAACCCTCCTTAGGGTGGATATGGATATTGTCTGAGACCACACAATGCAAAACAATTTGATGTACATTATAAGAACAGAAAACAAAAAGGGGGTTTCAACTACATGTAACCCTCCCTTGCTCCCTTGTACCTACCAAACTCTTGTTATGGGATTATAGACAGTCAATTCTGTGGAAGGTTCATCTTTTGAGCCATATGAAGTAAATCCACCATGAACGTATATTAGTTTTTTCACGGGATCATAAGCACTGCTATGTCCATATGTTGGTCCTATGATGTCTGTGGGGGTATCGTATACAGTCCACCTGCTAGTCTCTGGAATGTCAATAATAACATTATTGTTATTAATAAATTCTACCATTTTTATCATCTACATGTACATGTAAGAATAGACACAAATTTGTAAGGATGATCTTATTGGGTAACAAATGTTGCATAATTTGTCATCACTCAACTGAAGTTTGACAGACCATGCATGTACATGCAACCTGCTTGGCCTGTTCCCCTGGCAATGTTACAAAACAATAACTACAGTCGAACCTTGATTACCCGTACCTTGACTATCCGGATTTCTCAATTATCTAGACTTTTTCTCTAGTTCCAATTTTGTAAAAAATATATTTATAAGTCATGATCAAGATCCGTAGCAATATTCCTTTCAAGACTATAGCATCGAAAAGTGCAGTCAAAAGCGAGTTTGTTTTGCTTTTATAGAGCAAAAGCACCACATGCACATGTCGTAACTAATGAAGAACAGTCCAGTGAGTTCTGATTGGCTCAGAGTTGAGGTGGTTCAAGATGTACAGTAGACAATATTGTTTTCCAAGTGACTTGTAAAAGTGTTGTTTCACGATTAAATGTTGCTTTATTTAAACAGTTTTGTTCTTCATTAATATCCAGATTATCCAGACTATTCCGTCTAGTCCCAACAAGTCCGGATAATCGAGGTTCAACTGTACATGTACATGTAGCTGTGCACCATTTGGAGAGCACTCAAGAGGCTACATTTAGGGTTGCCTGAGCACTTCTTTTGTGCTGTCCAAACTTCTCACATGTACCTTTAGTTAACTCCATGACGCATGCAAAACCATGTATCAATTTAATTGTGGTCCTATATGTACCAGATTANTATTAGTTTTTTCATGGGATCATAAGCACTGCTATGTCCATATGTTGGTCCTATGATGTCTGTGGGGGTATCGTATACAGTCCACCTGCCAGTCTCTGGAATGTCAATAATAACATTATTATTATTAATAAATTCTACCATTTTTATCATCTACATGTACATGTAAGAATAGACACATCACAAATTTGTAAGGATGATCTTGCTGGGCGACAAATGTTGCATAATTTGTCATCACTCAATTGAAGTTTGACAGACCATGCATGTACATGCAACCTGCTTCGTCTGTTCCCCTGGCAACGTTACAAAACAATAACTACAGTCAAACCTTGATTACCCGTACCTTGACTATCCGGATTTCTCGATTATCTAGACTTTTTCTCTAGTCTCAATTTTGTCATGAATATTTATAAGTCATGATCAAGATCCGTAGCAATATTCTTTTTAAGACTATAGCATTGAAAAGTGCAGTCAAAAGTGAGTTTGTTTTGCTTTTAAAGAGCAAAAGCAGTGCACGCACATGTCGTAACTAATGAAGAACACTCCAATGAGTTCTGATTGGCTCAGAGTTGAGGTTGTTCAAGATGTACAGTAGACAATATTGTTTTCCAAGTGATTTGTAAAAGTGTTGTTTCACGATTAAATGTTGCTTTATTCAAACAGTTTTGTTCTTCATTCATATCCATATTTTTGATTATCCAGACTATTTCGTCTAGTCCCAAGGAGCCCGAATAATCGAGGTTCAACTGTACATGTACATGTAGCTGTGCACCATTTGGAGCACTTAAGAGGCTACATTTAGGGTTGCCTGAGCACTTCTCTTGTGCTGTCCAAACTTCTCACATGTACCTTTAGTTAACTCCATGATGCATGCAAAAGCATGTATCAATTTAATTGTGGTCCTATATGTACCAGATTAGGCATACAGCTTTATAATCAAGAGAACAGAGAAGGGAAGAGAGCATAGTCACATAACTGTGCTTCATAGTGCCTTTTCCGTTAAAATTAACAACAGAAATTTAATTAGTGATTATTACTGTAACATTTACCTAGATCATATTCTTGAACTTTATCTGTGTAGCCCCTCTCTGGACCATAACCAAAAAGGATAATCATTTTAGAGTCCACAAGAGTTGCCGTGTGTCCAGCAACAGACAGAGGTGAATCACCTTGACTGGGTAACAAACGCCAAAGTAATGTCCATGTGTCAAAAGACCAAAGTTCACTGGTGGCCTTTTTCTCCTTTCTACCACCAAACACATACAAGGATGACTGTGAAATAAACAGTAACAAAAATTAGACAATGGTGAACCACAGATTGTTGAAGGATAATATGGTTGCACTCTTGAAAATACAATACAATGTACATAGTAGTAATAGTAATTAGTAATTATAATTTATTTNTTGAATTTCGTACAACTTCAAATGCAGAACATTTAGCTCAATTGCAATATAGCTATTGCTTCTCGGTATAACGACTGCCTGGGTACACACAGCAGAGCGTCTTGTTTTTTTTAGACCTCACAGCCTTGTATGTGTGAATGACTAATTAACAATACATGTTTAACTTCAGTAAAAAGATACACTACATGCCCTGTGTTTTATCAGAATAAGTATGTACAACACATTGTCATTTCCAAATTAATTTTATTTAAAAAGCTTAGTCTGCAACTCATTTCCTATGGGGTTAATTCCCATTTAGAAAGTAAATCACAAGATGGATATAGTGAAAGAGCTGCAAACTGTACATGGACATTTGTACACGTACAAAAAGGCATACATGTATGTAGGTATCTACACTGTAGGGGTCACTTAAGAAGAGAGAAGATACTTGATGACCATCAAACCTCGTCCAAAGTCAACACTTACATTATGACCAATCATTGAGTGACCATAACGCCCAGATGGACTTCCACTAGAATTGATAGAAGGTGACACTACTTCCCAACTGTCACTTGGAATGTGATATCTAGAAAACACAAAAATATTTTAATTACCAAATCAGTACACTGTTATATATATATTTTTTTACATGTATAACCTCCAAGGAACTAATAATGATCCAACAGAACAAAAAGACTGCGAGCTACAGATTAATATACAATCATGTATGAATTCTCATATCTCTGGGACCAAGTTATTTATTTATAGTGTTCATGAAGTCTTTGTGTTTGTACGGTGAGGTTCAAATATAGAAAAATATTTTTATTAATGGTATTTCTTTTACTTTCATATGATCTTACAATGTATGACAGTACTACATGTAAAAAATCAAAAAAGCTTTGCTGAACAGACACTGGGCCTCTTTGATTGTGTATTTAAAAGGACACTGAGATGCACATACAGTCTGTGAATTCTGGTTTCTCTGGAACCCTGGTCAAGTGGCATAATTATCATGGGACTGCTAGTAAGTAAGCAAAATAATGCTGCAGAATAAGATGCACACAGTGATGCTAGCCAGATCTTAAACCCAGACTGCTTGGTCCAGAGTCCAACCGCTATCCATGAGAAGCCACTGTGTTCCCTACACATTAATAAATGGTTCAACTTCAAACAAAAACAGTACATATAAAGTCATGTAGGTACATGTGTTAATCTGGTTTATAATACAAAAGCCTTGCATGTACATGTACCTGACGAAGTTATCAAAAGGCTCTGAGCCTAGTGAATAGCCTCCAAACACCCACATATAGTCACCCAGCAAAGCTGATGCATGAGATGCCCGACCTTGTATTAGGTCTGTAGATTAATGAACAACATATGTTGTACAGTTAAAGCTGTGATCTACATGTACATCTAGCAAGGTAAGTCAGGGGTTTGTATTTCAAAATAAAGACTACAGTAGCTAGCCAAAAAAACCCAATTAAAAATGCATCTCTTCATGTTGAGAGAGTTTACAATATCATTATAACTACACAAATTTACACACTGTCTTTCAGAAAAACCCCCTATTGGCTGTAAGAGAGAAAGCCACCATATTTCAGCAACTACTTGTTATAGAAACAACTTGTGTGTGCTCTTGGTGTAGCATACATGCATGCCAGAGAGAAAACACATCATGAAAGCCTAAGAGAACTTGAAAAAAGCTGTGGTGAGACCTGCCTAAAAAGGCTGGTGCTCCTGCAAAATTTCTTGTTCTCCCATACTTCCACTTGTACTGTACAATATAATTATAATCACTACACGCAGTCTACACAGAGACAAGTTTGCCATTTTATTAATTCTAACAACTCAAATTACTGAAAGTGATTCTGCTAGACTACAACTGCATAGTGCCATGCATGATGTCCATTCTATTGGGGCTATCCTGGTTTCTGTAGCATGAAGTGACCAGGAATATTTCTACTCCCCACTGGATGAAATGCTAGACCACTGCAGGGTAATACCCACTACCCAAAAGCATATTGTTTGCTAGTACACATGTACACCTGTACATGTACACATGTTGTATACATGTACACGCTGTATACAGTACATGTGACAGTATATGTGTACAGTAGAATGCATACTATCAAATGAATGTTAGTTAAAAGTACATGACTGCATAATTCAGATCGGCTCAGCTCAGCTCTACACTGTGTATGTACATGTGGTCGCTAGCCAGGCCTATAGCTTGTTGATGTACATGTAAGTTATTCAAAATCCTATGTCTACCTTGGCCTTTTGAGGAATGTTGAATCCAGTGTCCTCTGTTACCAGTGATATTACAAGACGAACCTGCAAGACAAAGAAGACAGTGTTCCACTTTAATTTACTGTTACCAGATTGGAATAAAAAGGATTTACGTAAAAATTGAGCTGTCAAAAGAGGGTACCAATTTAAACACCCCAAAAATTCACACTATAGTGGTGCCTGGGTTAACGGGGAGTTATAGTCATATGACATACATGTAAACTATACTGTCAAGTAAACAGATGTGGGTGAGCTGCCTTAATTAGTCTTTTTGTATAAGTTTGCTACTGACTTTCCTACCCAGCCAGCCAAACAAGTACAAGTTTGAATGTCACACATGCTCTTTTTTTTTTTTTTCTACATGTACATGTACATGTATAAGCAAAACGTCTTACTCTTCATATCGATCCTCATACCAACACCAATATTTATTTGGCCCTAACAGTAAGTGTTCCCTTGAGTTATTTTGACAGAATGTACATGTAACTGTACATGTTTGACTTCAAATGTCAATTTGTCCATTTCCTATTATTAGTTTACGTCATCAATGGTGATACTCACTGGACCAGACACGAATGATTATAGAATTAACATTGTAAGTGACTAATTGTGTAATAGTCCTATGTGTACTGGACATGTACATACATGTATGCATTTAAGGCATTGATTTACTGTACTCTGTCACAAGTCACAATGCAGGCATTATTAACAGTGTAATTTACAATATCGCATTTACAGGACAAGTCCTGACGAGGTCTTTGTTTTACCTGTGAATCCAGAATCACAGACACACAGCCTTGTGGTGTTGTCACAATATCCGTTCACACAGTCAGCAATACAGGTTTGAATGTTACAAGTGGAGCCAGTCCACCCTGCATCACACACACAGCTTTTCTGTTTGTCACAATGGCCATGGAAACTGCATTTAGCTGAGCAATCTTCTGATATACTATGTACAACAATAAAAGAAAATTAAAGAAATCAGCCAAAATAACTATGATTGAGCAACTTCACAACAACTTCATGCATTACATGTAACAGACCAGTAGCATGTACATGTATGTATATAACCTACAATGATCAGTGACTTCAAGCGCCTTTTTCAGCAGCAGAGGCAGCATCTTCTATATATGTATTACCTGAAGCTTATCACCCTGTGGGGTGATAAGCATCTGGTATTATAATGTACATGTAAGTGGCAACCTCCATTTAGCAGGAAATACATGCATTTGTACACATATATATAATTTTATGTTTATGGATAATTTACATATTATATATATCTATAAGTTACTTTACATGTTCTGAGAAATGAACAGTTTGAGGATTTAATCTTTGAGGAACAGTAATGTGCAGGGATATATTTATCATAACTAATGACATGCATACACAGAAAACATATTTTTAAAGCCAAATAGAGGCTATTGCGTTTATTTGTATCCCTCAAATAATATTTTCATACTATGCATCTCATGTCAATGTAGGTAATTTATTTTGTCATATACAAGAACAATAAATCTTTTTTCGGAGAGGGGGGGTGGGGNTAATACCAGTTTTGGCTATGTCACATAATTATACAGGCCACATGGTGAAAATGACATACATGTATGCAAGAGGAAGGTTTGATTGGAAAACAAAACTATAGAACCATGCATGCACAACCATTGGATGGCTTTAATTACCGGTAACCCTGATGACGGCAATACATGTAAGCTGAACACTGTTGGTTTAGTAATAATTTTTCTACTTTTTCGCCTTGTGTATTAATTTTATAATTATATCAATAAAATAATAAGTAAACATGTACATTCAAGTGAGAGCAGCCCACCTGTATTTAATTCTAAATCCATCTTCAACGTAATGTTTATCGCTGTAAAAATATAGAAATACTGCCCCTGACTTGGCCTGTAACTTCAGAACTTGCCCATCAGAGTACTTGTCCTTTGAACTGTCTTTTATAAGCCCACTGCATATTAACAGAGAGAAATAGTGTGTTGTTAGGCATTACATGTATCTGATTGCTACTTATGTACATTGTGTACATGTTGTGGTCCAATTTTCACCTTGGTACAATGTTGGATCATCCTTTGTTCCAGGGGTTTCATTAGCAGCCAGCAACCTACAAAAATTGCCGCCTACTTTGTCAGAATTTACCTCTTACCGCTGCCTACTTTGTCTGTATTTTCACTTAAATTATTTCAAAAATTCACCAGTCTGCCACCTACTTTAGTTAGCTCAGACGGCTATTTCAAAACTTATTTAAACCTTGTTGTTCTGGTGTATGGTAATA